ATGCCCGAAAAAGTGAATTATCACTTTAAAAACAAATATAGATGCTAACCAAAGCACGCATTGTCTCTGAAATAATGATAGGGGAAATAAAAACTTTTGTTGAAGTTTTATTCTTTGTGACTTTGGGGATATACATTCTAGTAGACTACCACAGAATACATTGTGTCTCTGTGTGTGCAAGGTTTTCTAAATGAAGTTTAAGCAACACTTGAGATATGGTCTCACTTTCCCGAATGTAACAGTTGGTTTGTCAAATGGCAATTTGTGTCACCACAATGGAATGTCTAGTTGGAATTTTTTGCAATGAATTTTATTATTATTATTCATTTCAATACCGCTGAGGCCTACCTAGGCCCAAAGTCTTATCAAATAAGCTTTCCCCAGGAGAGATGCGCTGCCTCTCACCAATTTTGCTGCTGTGCTGGTGGCGTGAAAGTAGAAAACTTTACTGCAAACCAGCCAAATGTGGAGATGTCAGACAACAGGACATCTCCATTTGGTTGCAAGTGGAACATTCACAGTCGCAAAACACACCTGGAGTATTTCATACCCTCCAACATTTCTCCGATGAAAATAGGGACATCCCATTCCATAATGGTAATTTTATTATTTATACCCCACACATCTTACTGGGTTGACCCAGCCACTCTGGGCAGCTTCCAACATATATAATAACATAATTAAACATTTTAAAAAATTCCGTATACAGTGGTGCCTCGCAAGACGAAATTAATTCGTTCCGCAAGTTTTTTCGTCTTGCGGTTTTTTTCGTCTTGCGAAGCACAGTGTCGGAAAAGTTTTGGAAAAGCTTCAAAAATCACCAAAGTCTTCAAAAACCTCAAAAAAGGCTACCACACCGCGTGCTATGAGTTGCTCCTCGAAGTCAAGTCGCAACTGTATTAACGGTTTTAAGAAAAAGGAAACAAACTTGCAAGATGTTTCCGTCTTGCGAAGCAAGCCCATTGGGAAAATTGTCGGGCGAAGCAGCTCAAAAAACCAAAAACCCTTTCGTTTTGCGAGTTTTCCGTCTTGCGAGGCATTCGTCTTGCGAGGTACCACTGTACAGTGGTGCCTCGCAAGACGAAATTAATCCGTTCCGCAAGAGTCTTCGTCTAGCGGTTTGTGCGTCTTGCGAAGCAAGCCCATTGACGGATTAGCGCTATTAGCGCTATCAGCTGTTTAGCGGCTATTAAAGGCTTAAAGGCTTAGGGGATTAGCTGCTAAAAGGCTATTAAAGGCTATTAAAGGCTTAGCAGATTAGATAAAGGGGGGGAAAAGCGAAAAAAATCTCTAGACTCGCAAGGTATTTTCGTCTTGCGAAGCAAGCCCATAGGGGAATTCGTCCTGCGAAGCAACTTCAAAACGGAAAACCCTTTCGTCTAGCGGTTTTCCGTCTTGCGAGGCATTCGTCTTGCGGGGCACCACTGTACAGTGGTACCTCGGGTTACATACGCTTCAGGTTACAGACTCTGCTAACCCAGAAATAGTACCTCGGGTTAAGAACTTTGCTTCAGGTTGAGAACAGAAATTGTGCTCTGGCGGCGCGGCAGCAGCAGGAGGCCCCATTAGCTAAAGCGGTGCTTCAGGTTAAGAACAGTTTCAGGTTAAGTATGGACCTCTGGAACGAATTAAGTACTTAACCCGAGACACCACCTTCAGACGGCTTGGGGGTCGGATAACTCCATCCACCCACCATTTCTCCAATGAAAATAGGGACATCCTAAGGAACAGTGTGACATTCTGGGATCAAATCAGAAACCAGGACGGCTTTTCTAAATCAGAGGCATCCCTGGAAAATAGAGACACTTGGAAGGTCTGGAATTTTGAACACTGAGAGGAATGGGAAGTAAAATATGCTCCTTTGAGGAAACGACGTCACGCAGATCCCTCTCTAGGGACGCGGGTGGCGATGTGGTCTAAACCACAGAGCCTAGGGCTTGCTGATCCCCAGGACGGGGTGAGCTCCTGTTGCTCTGTCCCAGCTCCTGCCCACCTAGCAGTTCTAAAGCATGTCAAAGTGCAAGTAGATAAATAGGTACCACTCCGGCGGGAAGGTAAATGGCATTTCCGTGCGCTGCTCTGGTTCCCCAGAAGCGGCTTAGTCATGCTGGCCACGACCCGGAAGCTGTACGCCAGCTTCCTCGGCCAATAAAGCAAGATGAGCACTGCAACCCCAGTTGTCCACGACTGAACCGTCGGGGTCCCTTTACCTTAGATCCCTCTCTACCAATTGCATTGTCTATGGTCTGAGAATAAGAAGAAGAAGAAGAAGAAGAAGAAGAAGAAGAAGTATTTATTTATACGCCGCCCATCTGACTGGGTTGCCTCTGCCACTCTGGGCGGCTTCAGGCATCAAACACAGGGAAGTACCAAACATTAACAACTTCCCTACACATGGACTTAGCCCCTTTCTCATGCTAACCAGCAAGAACATGCGTCTGTTAGGTTTGGCTGCTGGTCTCCCAAACACCCCACACCAAATGCATTCCGTATGAAACTCCTTTCTCTTCCCAAGCCATGTGCCACTGTTCACAATCGCTTTGTCCTGCATGATGGCATCCCTCCCCATGCATCAGGCGAAAGAAAGCAGTCCGGATCAGGCCCCATTCCACCTGCTGCAATTACACTCCCGAGCTGCCAAACCTTTCGGCGGCCGAGGCGAATCGAACTGTCACGTCGTCCGGAGGAAACTTGGGCCTCGCCCTTCGCCGTAGCCACTCCATCCCTTTCCACCCCCCCCCGTTACGCTTTCGGAACCACGTCGGCCGCGCATGCGCGCTGGCCCTGCTTACTCACCTGCCGCCGGAGCGAGGAGGGAGCCCAGCGAAGGGGCGGGGGTGGGGAGCAGGGTCAACGAAAGCGGCGTCAGCGGCCATTACGCCCCTCCTCCTCCTCGCGCCGCCTTGAGCAGGGGGGAGGGGAGAGGAGCGGCGGCCGTGAGGTAAACCTGAGGGGGAAAGACGTTACCCGCCTCGGGGGACCCCACCTGGGCCCTGGAAGAGGCCGAGCGCCCTCGCCTTTCGCCTCAGCCCGGCCGAGAGCTCCTCTTCCCGCGCTGCCATGTTCAAGAAGCTGAAGCAGAAGATCAGCGAGGAGCAGCTGGCGCCGGCAGCGGCGGCGGCGCGGAGTCCCGGCGGCCGAGGCCCCGGCCTGGCCCAGGTGAGGCGGGTGCGGCCGCGGCGGCCTTGCGCGGCTCGTCTTCATGCCCTGCGACGAGGGTCTCTCTTTCTCGCCCCCCCCTGCGCGGCCCTGACGTCAAGCGGGAGCGCGCTCCCCGCCCCCTCCCGACCTCCGCTGCCTTGGAGGCTCCTGAGGGAGGCGGGGGCCGCGACGTGCTTGCTTGTTTGTTTGTTTGTTTGGAGCAGGATATGCAGAACTGTAACTGATTTTGTGGAGCAGATTGACACGTTTAGCTTTTCACGTGATTAAGTTCAAAGACATAAAAGAGTATATATGGGTGGGCTTATAGTGTACCCTCTTCCATTATGTCACCTTTTCTCTATAGAATTGCAGAATAGGGGGCCTTCTTAGCCTAGCGGTTACCGTATTTTTCGCTCTATAAGACGCACCAGACGACAAGACGCACCTAGTTGTTGTTTTTTTAAATAATATTTATTAAAGTTTCACAAAAAGAGGATCACATTAATAAGAAAGAAAAATTTAAGAATAAAAAAAGAAGAATACACAATACAAAATACAAAAATACAAAAAAGGAAAAGGAAAAACAGTTAAAAACAATTCCTTCTTTTCATAACTTCTTTTACATTTACTTGTTTCCCGGACTTCCTCATACCTCCCTCTTTTGTATTCCAATTCAGTTTGTTAGTCCAGCAATTTCTTTCCCTCCTTTTTAATCCCAATCCTTAATCTTAATATATTATAACATTAGATTTTTACCTATTTAAAACCAATTTTTCCATTCTTTTAACCTTTTTAATCCTAATCCTTAATCTTGATATATTTATAACTTTAAAACCTGTACAGCTAGAAGCCACTTAACTTCAATCCAACATCACTCTAACATTCATTAATTTTGCAATGTTTCTGTAAATAATCTTTGAATTTCTTCCAATCTTCTTCCACCGACTCTTCTCCCTGGTCACGGATTCTGCCAGTCATTTCCGCCAATTCCATGTAATCCATCATTTTCATCTGCCATTCCTCCAGTGTGGGTAGCTCTTGTGTCTTCCAATACTGATTTTGTGGAGCAGATTGACACGTTTAGCTTTTCACATGATTAAGTTCAAGGACATAAAAGAGTAAATATGGGTGGGCTTATAGTGTACCCTCTTCCATTATGTCACCTTTTCTCTATAGAATTGCAGAATAAGGGGCCAGCTTAGCCTAGCGGTTACCGTATTTTTCGCTCTATAAGAAGCACCAGACGACGCACCTAGTTTCTGGAGGAGGAAAACAAGAAAAAAAATATTCTGAATCTCAGAAGCCAGAACAGCAAGAGGGATCGGTGCGCAGTGAAAGCAGCAATCCCTCTTGCTGTTCTGGCTTCTGGGATAGCTGCGCAGCCTGCATTCGCTCCATAAGACGCACACACATTTCCCCTTACTTTTTAGGAGGGAAAAAGTGAGTCTTACAGAGCAAAAAATACGGTACTTCGGAGCAATCTTTGTAGATTCACCAATTGCTTAACGGCAGTTCGATACCCTGTCTGGTTTTAAATAATAATAAAAAAAGAATTTCAGAATAAGATAAACTGATGGTGTTGGATGGTTACATGAGCATTTGTTTGTTTGTGTGCATGCGTGAGGAGGAGGGCTGTCTCTCACCGCTGCGGCCTGATCCAGCGCCCACCTCGCTCGCCTCACTGGGTGCAGACGGCCGTACTTCCTTCCACGCAGGTGCGGCATACACAGGACAGCAGCCTCCGTGACCCACCCCGAGCTGATAACGTCCCTGACACCGGCGTGGTGGTGAGATTTAGAAGCGTTGGAAGGGACCCCGAGGGTCATCTAGTCCAACCCCCTGCGATGCAGGGATCTTCATGCCCAACGTGGGGCTTGAACCACGGGCCTGAGATTAAAAGCCTCATCCTCTACCGACTGAGCATTCCCAGTGGTTTTAGTTGGGGTCCGTCTCCCCCCCCCCCCAAGGTACAGGGGGGACCTGAATATACTACTTAGGATTGTAGCCTGGACTTAACAGGTAGTAAGGGGTGTGTCTGTCTTTCTCTCTGTGTGCGTATTTATGTGTGTGTATGTATGTACATTCACACACAAATACGCACACACACAGACCTACACACACACACACACACACACACATTCATATACATATAACATCTGTATAGACATACGTCTCTGTGTGTGTGTGTGTGTGTGAGAGAGAGAGAGAGAGAGAGAGAGAATCATAGAATTGTAAAGTTGGAAGGGATCCCAAGGGTCATCTAGTCCAACCCTCTGCAATGCAGGAATCTCGACTAGATAGTAGGCCATCCAACTGCTGCTTAAAAACCTCCCAAGGAAGGAGAGTTTACCACCTCTGGTGGGAGTCTGTTCCACTGTCAAACAGCTCTTACTGTCAGAAAGTTCTTCCTGATGTTGACTTGGAATTTCCCTTCTTGTAACTTGACATCATTGGTTCGGGTCCTAGCCTCCAGAGCAGGAGAAGACAAGCTTTCTCCATCCTCTGTGAGACAGCCCTTTAGATAGTTGAAGATGGTTATTCAGTCTCCTGTCAGTCTTCTCTTCACCTGGCTAAACATACCCAATTCCCTCAACCGTATTTAAAGCCCTGTTGGTTACAATTATATTTGTGCCTAGTCCATGCCTTAAAAGACCAAATGCAGCACATCCACTGTCTGCGCCTTCTTCTTTTTTCATTTAAAAAATCAGAGCCTGCTAGTAGCACTATATTTCATTCTATTAGCTCTTTGCTGTACAAAGAGTTCGTTCCAGCCCCAAGCCCTTCAAAGACAGAACATCCAATGCACAGAAATTTCTTTTTCCATAGACAATTGCGGAGGATGTCTTTTGATATAATCTCTGGTGGCAGGAGCAGTGAGTGCTTGAAAGAGGCGGAGCCGGTTGCTGCAATCCCTGCTGGGAATCTGGCAAAGGTGGAGCAGGATATGCAGAACTGTAACTGATTTTGTGGAGCAGATTGACATGTTTCACATGATTAAGTTCAAAGGCATAAAAGAGTAAATATGGGTGTGCTTATAGTGTACCGTCTTCCATTTTGTCACCTTTTCTCTATAGAATTGCAGAATATGCTGAACTCTAGGGGCTGTTGGTATTGGATGGTTACATGAGCATTTACCCCCAAGTGATCTGTAATTCTCAGTTATCACTTTATTGTGGGGGGTGAGAGGGAGGGAGAGGACTCTGAACTCTACAAGCTTCAGCTCCCGACACCCCTGAATTCTCATCAAATCACAACCCCCCTTCAAGTAGTTAAGAGGTTGTATCCAAAAGGTGAGGAAATCTCCCCTTCTGTAATTTGAACACTGGTGAGTTGTAGTTGGTGGGGCTTTCTTGTACTGTACATCTAAACTTGGTACGGAGTGTTATGAGCAAATTTGTACTAATTAGGTTTTTGTGTTCATTGAACTTTCATTGCAACATTAAGCAGCATACTACATGGTCTATATATGCAGAATAATGAGGTGTTTAAAGTGCTGAGGTGGGAGACTGGATTACAAAATTGCATCAGTTTCTGGTGGAGAATACTTTTTTTGAATGCATGTCCATATCTTAAAGATTAATCTCATCCACAATCTTGAAGATTAGCTCATCGGGAAGAGATTTGTGTTGGCCTTTTTGCTACTGTACTGATTTGTAGGGAGTTTTTTCATGTAGGATTGTATTGAAAATGTGATCACCACTTGCTGTCTGAACTGGTACAGTCAGTTCTACTAGCATAAAGCATAACCACTTTATTCTGCTGCATGTTGTGTTTCTTTAGTAAATTTCTGCCCCATGTTTTAGCAGTCCTCTTGTGGTGACTGAATAAAAAGAAAAAACACAAACAGAACAATATAGAATAAAACAGTGTAGCTGCAGGAGATAATGATGGCAGATTAAAATAGCATTAACTGATTTTTGAAAGGTTTTAGAAAAGTGAAAGCATTTTTCTTGGTGCCAAAATTACATCATGGGGAGAGAATTCCAGAAGCAGAATCCAAGAAGGCCCTGTCCCTGATTGCCATTCACTTTGCCTCCAAAGCCATGGGCATCTGAAGAAAGGCTTCCAACGAAAATTTAAAGCATAGGCGGGTACATAGGCATTATTTGACAGGATGGGTGGTGACCAGCCCATACATCTAGATTGTTACTCGCTGTGTTGCTCTTGAATGAAATTGCTGATCAGTTAGTTTTGGTCTGTTTGGCATTATTTTTTTCCAGTTTCAGGGTTATGGCCTACAATCTTGAAATCCTTGTTATTGCAACTTGGTGGCAGGTACCCCAGCTAATGGGTGCATGTAACACTGCATATGGTCAGATTGCTTGTGTGTAGGGACTAGCAGTTCTTCATTTCTGTTACTTCTTTTGCAGGGATCCTCTGCATCTTCACCATCAACTTCCAGGAGTAGAACATCTTCACTTGAAGAGCAAAATGACGAAGGCACTTTAACTCCCAACAGAGAGGTAGGTGGAAACCTGTTGCCTGAAAAAGGGTGCACCCCAAAATAATCAACCACGAGAAAAGTTGATATAGTACAGCAAAAATCAATGAAACATTAAGAAAATTGCATGTTAAAAATATATTCGTCAAAGGGTAAGTCTATCACACAAATCATAGAATCGTTGGGCTGTAGGGTTGGAAGGGACCTCAGGGGTCATCTAGTCAACCGCCATGTGATGCAGGAATGAAGAAGAGACATAATGCAAGGTAATGAGCACCCAAACTTGAGAATAGGATTGCACTGTTACGGGGTTGAAGTACAGGGGCTCCTAAAACAATTGGGGGCTTGTTTTCTGTTTAATTTTGTATCTTTAGTTTGTTCAAGGGGATGGTTGTTCCAAGTACATATTTATCATTTCTGTCTGTATTGCACACCACTCTGAAGGAAATTAACTAATTCTGTTATGGGCTTTTTATTACTTACCATTGAACAAATAATTTCTTGTGAAGAGGAGAAAAGGTCGTTTTTCATTAACACTGTTTCTTAGGGGCCAGGATGGAAGCTGGGTAAGAATGGAGTGTACAAGTGTGCAATCCACTTGCTGTTGCACATTTTCTTAGTCATGTTTTTACATTTAGAGGAGTTAGGGAAGAGGGACAGAGCAGGGTGTTGAAACAAAGGAGCAAATAAATTTTTACCCAGTTCTCCTTTCTTTACAGTCCTCCACTGGAGGGGAGGATGCAACAGAATAGGGGAGATTCAGGATTGATCAGTGTGTGTGCATTTGAGGAAGAATCCTCATTTCTTACATGAGCTGCTGTTTATCCTGCCTTTATTCCTGTTCATTTGTAGAGTGACAGTCAAGTTGCCAAACCTTACTTTCATACACTTGATTTTGAATAATTATTAGTGAATAGAGCAAAGGACAGCTTTTGCTAGTTAGAGTAGAGTCAGTTTATCAGTTTTGTGACTAGCAGTCTGATACCATCAGATTTAGTTAGCCAGCAGACCTTAGTTAAGTATATTAATTTGGCAGATGACTCATTGCCGTATTTTCTGCAAGCCACTATTCTTCTTGACATATTATTTCTTTTGGCGAATAATGCACAGAGCAGGGGTCAACCTGAATTTAGTATTCAGCATGATTACACATAATTTGTTTGTGCATTCAGCGTTAATGCTTATAGCCACAGTAGTTTAGAATAGCCTTTGCCAACCTGGTGCTCTTCAGATGCCTTGCACTACCGCCTGCCCAAACAGATGTGCTGTCTGAGGCTGGCAGGAGTTGTAGTTCAAATCTGGAGGGCACTAGGTTGTTCAAAGCTAGTTTACAGACTTATACTATTGTCATGCACTTTTAAAATAATTCCTGAGTTATTGTGTATATTATAGTTGAAAGGTTTGTTTACAACTTACTTTACTAGTTTAGAGAAGTAAAGGAAAAATCCTGCGATTATAATGTCATGTGAGGCTTTCCCTTCTTTTCTCTGCTGTATTTTGATATGTGTATGCTTATACTGCTGTCATCATTCATTTAAATAATTTGGAGTGGAATAAAATACGTTGGGTAGTGCATGTTAAAAAGTAGATCTTTGCTCATCATACCTTCCTAAAACAAGGATAATTAGTGAATTCTTGGAATCATAATTTAGACTATTGCTGTGGTAGTCTCTCATCCAAAGCTCTTTCCCCATTAAGTATTGACTTGTAAATATTGTGACCATGCACATATATGTAGATGATGCTTAAATATGCAGATGATCCTTGACAATACACAATTATTTTCATTTTAAAAACTCTAAAATAAGGCTTATCAGTTTCTGTTGTTTATTCTCTCATGTCTGTATACATGCATACATCTTGGCTGGCTTGAGTGCTCTGTTCCACTTTCAGTGTGTCCTACTCAATAACTTTCCTTGGTGCTAGTGATACATACTTTGGCAGTTTTTGTAAGCATTATGCACAAACATTTCTGAATTCAAACTGCAACATGCTTTTGTGTTCCTTCCCTTTAGCTTATTACCATGTTTTATTTTTCATTTCCTTGCTTTTTGCAATGAATGACACAGCTGCTAGCTGGGATGATATCAGAGCCTGCTTTTCTTTCTGAGTATACTGTCTTTGCTTTGGATCCCACCAAACGACATAAGCCACAGAGTGAAAGTGTGGTGAGTCCCTGCCCCTGTTCTGTCCCTCATAGTGACACCCTGACTTGGACAAGAGGCTATTATAGGGAAAAACTAGTGCTTCTTTTGGTTTATAGTCTCACTAAAGCATACTGAGTGCCGTATTGCTAACCCTGCACTAAAATTCAGGGCATATTTTTGCTTAATCAAGAGTTAAGCAAACCAAGTTATATGATAACATTGGCTTAATTTAACATATAAATTAACATTGCTTTGCTTTCAGGCATTAATCACAAAATACCTTTGTAGTATCGGTGATAATTTTAGTGTGTGGTTCTTTTGATTTTTAAAAAAGCTTTGCCATCTCCTTTTTCTTTATCGTAACACACCTGATCTTAAAAAAAAAATTTTTGCCTGGTATCCTTGAGAGTATTGAGGAACAATTATTTTCTAGTTCTAGTTCTGTGAAGAATATGTTTTGCACTTGCTCAGAGAGAAGTTACAGAATGAGGACAAGCAGGAGGATGAAGAGTAAGAACATGAGAAATGGGATTGTTGCTCCCTGATGTACAAAGGGTTCCTTTTGCTAATTTGTTCCATTTTCTTTTTTGACCCTGTTAGAAATGA